GTTTTGTCTGCTTTACATTTACCGTTACGCTGTCAGTGTGTGTTTCTGTGTGTGTGTTTTACCTATATACTACCTGCCAACAAGAGCAGCAACAATAATCCACAGATCATGTGATGATTGACAGCTGTCAAGCTGCAGTGATGTCATTCTTTGCTCAGATGATTGACAGTTTCAGACTGACAGCGGTCCATGGAGAAACTAAAACAAAATGCACAAACTGAGACTTAAAGTGTTGCCTGGAGGTTTAGGCTCAAGGGGCTATGGTTCACGCAGTAGACTTTGTTGCCCACTCATCAGAAGGACGGCGGTTCAATCCCCGGGTCCTTGAGCAAAATGTTAATCCATTCTGATGAGTGGCGTGCTGGCATCTTTCATGGCAGCCTCCGTCATCAGTGTATGCATGTGTGTGAATGGGGAAAAAAGAAAAGTCACATGGCCAATAAGATTGATGTGTAAACTTCATGACAACCTGGCCAGTTTTTAGGATATAACATGACACCATCATAAATGTACCGGTTACTGTACATTTCTTCCCTTCTGTCAGCTCTAATTTGTAGGAAAATATATATATTTTTTACCTCTACATTTTCTCTTTCCCTTCTCCTCTCCTCTTCTTTTTCCAGTTTCTGTTCTGTGCCTCTATAAAAATCAGTTGAGAGAGTAAAAACCTGAATCAAGCTGAGCAAAAGAAAAGAAAATCACCCAGCCAGACGAGGAGTGTGACTGCTTGGTTCAAGTTTAGATCCCATTGTACTGTTGTCTGAACACGTGATCCTTTAACAGTGATGAAGATTGCAGCAGCTGAAATGCCAAAGATGCTGATTTAAAATTTAAATGAGGACCTGAACTCTTCTCGCCCATTTACTGGAGAGAAACACACATTCTTCCTCCTGAAAAACAATCAGGTTTCTATTATAGTAAGAAACCTCCTTTTCACCTCAATTCTTTCTTCTCCTCCTACTTTTTAATCAGGTTGCTTCTGTGAAAAGAAAGCAATTTCCTGCTCCCCTTGTTTTTATTTTCACTTTTCACTTAAACAACTCAACCTTTCTACTGACTGTGGACCAATTTTACATTTTTTCCTTCAGTTTTTAGCTCTGGTTTGGTCTCCACCAACTCCTGAGATATACATGTGGCCAGGGTTGGGGAATAACGGATTACATGTAACAGCGTTACGTAATCAGGATACAAATATAAATTAACTGTATTCCATTACAGTACAGAAAAAAAAAAGACATAATCAGATTACAGGTACATTTTGGAAAAACTGGGATTACACATTTCTTTAAGCAGAAAGTTTCCATGAAACAGAAAGCCCACTGCTATTTGCTGTTTATGCGTTTCCTGTAAAAACCATAGACAGTATATAAGAAGTGGACGTAGTCATCGTGACGTGATTGAGTTTTTGCAACCAGCGGTACCGGACGTGACCGTATTTGGACGAGACGGTGGAGCTAATGGCTCTGTGTGGAGCTAGCTAGCTTGCATAGCTAGGTGCCTCTGTAATTCACGTTAACTGTCATTTTAACAGGGCTCATAACTTTGTCTAGCGAACAACAGTCTTAAAACTAAATGTACTCACCAAAGAAAGTGAACAGCTGACCCCTAATAAGCTTTTTCAAATGCGCTGGTTAAACTTTCACAGTGCCGAGTCACTCTAGCCTGATTGACAGGTTTCCATTGTAACAACTTGTTGTTTTCCTCTAAAATATACCATAATTTATGATTATATATATATATAATATCTATCTTGAAAACCTGAACCTGAAAACCTCCAGTGCTTGAGTAAAGGTGTAAACCTAAACACACACTCTGGTGCTCCTAATTCACAATACGGGCAGAGTGAGCTAATTTGACCAGTAGCTGCTGGCTAATTGAGCTAATTTGATAGTGGCAGCTAGTTAGCAACAGTTAGCTGACTTGCTACTGCAACAAGTAAAGCAATCAGTCTATCAGGGAACTCGTAAATCACAGAGGAGCCGGGGGACATTGGAGAGAAAAATAGAACATATTTTCCATGAAATTGAATCCAGTTTCCCCAAAATCTGTAAATAAAGTTGTGCTTTTGTACAGTAATCAGTGGCGCCCGGTCCCAAAAACACAATTTTTCAGCAGAGTCACTAAAATTAAGAAAGCTTTTTACTGGACACTAAATAATACAGGCCCCCAATGCAGGATGATTCATCAACATTTTAAAATCGTTTTCCAGGAAATGACACTAAAATATCTTCAAGAATACTTACAAAACAACTTTTTTTGTCATTGATGGGCCAGATCCTGCCGTATGACATATAGGCCCAGTAAGGCATATGACATAAAAACATTTAAACATCGATTTTGATTTCATGAGAATGGGAAATTTTATAGGTAGGTAGATTTATTTTGTCAACATAAAAGAGGTTATAAAGTGAAATTGAGTTTGTAACTCTGCTACAGCAGTGCTGAGGATCAATTAGAGTTTAAGAGTCTGATAGCCTGGGGGGGAAAGCTGCTCTGTAGTCTGGTGGTGTGGCAGCAGAAACTCCTGTATCTCTTCCCAGAAGGCCGCAGGGTGAACAGGCTGTGGCTGGGGTGGGTACTGTCCTTTAGTATCCTTTGGGCTCTGCGTAGCCACCTCACCAATATCACTGATGCTCAGAACATGGGTACCAATGATCTTCTGAGCAGTTTTAATCACCCACTGCCTATAATTGTATGTTTCTATAAAAATCCACTAAGCAGACAAGGCATCTTTGATACTCTCGTCTTTATTTGCGTATTTGGTATTGAAATAATCCAAAAGTAACTAAAAGTAATCAGGTTACATTACTTTTATTTTATGGTACTTGGATTACATTTTTAAAGTAATCCTTCCAAACCTGTATGTGGCTCTTTAGCTGCTAAATATTCTACTTTCTTCACCCGCTAGTCTCTTCACTGTGTCTGTCTGCAGATTTTTAGAGACCAAAACAATGAACGTGTTGAAAAATCAAAAGAGGCCAAAAGAGGCCAAAAACATTTGCAGAGCGGCAGAGTTGGTTTGTCACTACAAATGTCACTTTTCAAACAGAGTAATTTGTTTCACTGTTTGTATAAAATATTCATAATTGCGGTCAGAACAATCAGCAACTGCTCTTCTTCTCTGTCTAATAAATAAGTTAAATCAGATCAAACATACGTCATTCACTGCTGGAAAGACTGCAAATTGCTTTTCTCAGCATGCTGTGAGGATAAACACAAAGGACTTTCACACCAGAGACCTGGTTTAAGTCCTGCATAGTTTTAGGCTTCTAGGCCTGAGAAGGTTTTGGGTGGTTTGGAAAACAAATTTAATATGTTGTCAGGGAATGTTTTGCAGACACGTATGGACGTTTTGCGACTTTGCAGAAATGTTTATGTGGATAAAAAAACATGATCCGACATCAAGTAAAAAACTTTTTTGTTGTTTGTAAATAAACAGCGTATTAATGCATTTTCTGGAGAAATAGTTGAAACAGGAGCTACAAGAAGCCAGAACAACACGACATTATAAAATAAATGTATCCAACAAGGCTAAAAACAAAAATGGGGCTCAGGTGAAGCCCACAGCTAACTCAGTCACTCCAGTAAAACATTACAACAATTATTGCAACAGCCAAAGCATGATGGGGACATGATAAAGGCTTAAACATGTTAAATCAACATGGTACAACATCTCTGACACTGAGTGTTCATCTATATTTTCTGTGTGTGTTGAAAACCTGTGGACATACATGCTAAAAACTTGCATTTAAACTACAGCTTATATACCAAAAGTGTTTAAGTATCCTGACTTATACTAAGCACTTGTGCCAGCAGCTCTTGGGGCTGCTGTGGCTGAGGAGAAGCTTGGCGGTTCGATTCCCCGCTCCGTTTGAGCGCTGGGGTGAACGTGACGTATGTGTAAAAGCGCTTTGAGTGCTCAGAAGACTAGAAAGGCACAATACAAATACAGACAATTACTCTCTTACAGCATGCCGGCTCGCAATGACAATGTTCACAATCATTATTAAATGTTTTAGCATGCTAACATGTGCAAATTAGCATTAAACAGAAAGTACAGCTGAGGCTGATGGGAACGCCATTAGTTCTGCAGGTATTTGGTCATAAACCAAAATGCTGGACAAAGTAAAATGTTGACCTGATGATGGCCCTAGATAAAGATATCCAGATCACCAAATTTCATGTTGATCTATCAAATATTTGTTGAGATATTACAGTCTGGTGGAAGTCTGGAAGTGGTAGCACGACTTCAGCCATCCTTAGAGCCTAAAAATAATATCTGGCCAACAACAGCAACAGGTGCACAGGGTTAACTTAAATTTCCTGTAAGGACAAGGAAATTATACCTCTGAAAAAATAGTCACATAACTTTGTTGTGTCTTTATATTCAGCTGAGCTTTCAATATGTGAGTACACTCAATACCACTTGTTTTATGACTTTTACTTAAACTCTCAGTGGATGACTTTCACTTTGACTTGACTATTTGCCCAGCGAGGTAATTCTACTTTTGCTGAGGTTTGACATTTAATTACTTCCTCACCACTCTAATAAATCTTCTCTACTGAAGGTAAACTCCTTCTTGGGCTTCGCTCTCCTCCTTCCCGCTTATTCAAAGTTTCTCAGCTCAAAGGAATCCTTCCCCCTTCGCCTCCGTCCTCATTCTACTCTATTGCTTGTTTTCTTTCTTCGTATCTTTCCTCATCTCTCTGTCTGGCTGCTTCTCGCTCTCATACAGATATATGTAGAGTTATATCTGAAGACTCTGTAGATCCATGTTGTGGGGATAAAAGGATTCTTTGGCAGGTTGTTAAAATGACTCATGAGTTTAATTTTAACCCAAAATGGGATCTGCGCTGATGCCGGCAGTCATTTTGTCAGAGCGACCATCGCTTTTTATTATAATGGTGGCGACTCGTTGAATGAAGCTGACTGGGAGTTTATTAATGGAGGAACACATCCAGCATGTGTTGAAAAGCTATAATGTGTGTGTGCTTTCCAGACTTGTTGGCTGTGCCCAAACATCCCTACGCCGCCATGGAGAACTGGGGGCTGAGCGTCTTCGTGGAGCAGAAGATCCTGTTGGACGCTGAGGTGTCGTCGTCATCCTATCAGATGGAGCTGACCATGGTCGTCGTCCACGAAATCTGCCACCAGGTAGGGAAATATAACCACTAGGTCTGTACGATTTGGAGAAAAGGTTATATTGTGATTTTTGTGGACAATATTGCGATTCGATTATATGGAATTCAATTCAACTTTATTTATATATATATATATATATCGAAATGTGTTTTCCTCAACTTGAACCAAGTTAAGCAATATTTATACTATGTTCATTATAATTTCAAATAATAGTACAATATTTTACCACTAGTTGAATATTAAATCCAGTTACAGCTGTTTTATTTCTGTGGGATGTTTTTATTTATTTAATCCTTGTGCAATCAAAATGATCTATATTGGTCTCCAATATGTTAAAGCTAAGTATTAACTTGTCAATAATCATATTGTTCAACATTTAATGATTTGCTGTAGCACGTCAAACTTTTTCTAATGTCCCGTCCCATCCAGGCTGTGATTGGTCAGTTGACGAGTGACGTTGGCTTTATGAAAAGTTGAAAAACAAAAGGCAGCAACACCGCTAACGTTAACTGCCCAGCAATCCAAAACCAAACCTTCTTTATCCCAGTTTAGTTCTGTCTGACCGCTTCAGCTGCTGACGACACGTAACGTTTCTGTAACTGTGTCTGTGACAGAGCGACCAGCCCACCGGCATTTCTTTTGGATATGTTTTGAACAATTAAAGGTGGGGCTGGGAGGGACATTACTCGCTCACTGCACATAAATTACTTTTTGTGGTTTGTACTTCAGACAGAAGTGTGCAGACTGCAGTGCAAACTGAGAGGAGAGTCTCACACACACGCAGCACACTTTTTGCGGTTATGTAATCGCACATGACGACACCGCGATTGCGATTAGATTAATCGCGCAGCCCCAATAACCACCTTAATCAACAATTACGTCAAGTTGGCTGTAATAGTTGTTTTAGCTAGCCATTTTTTCTTTAAGCTTGAAGGTTCATTATTAACCTTGGAAATGACACCATGACAAACAGTTCTTAGAAAGGTCATCTGACACTTACACTTACTAACCTTTTAGAGTAGAGACTTTAAATCTGAGATCCAAAGTTTCCAAACAAATATGGTGAAATTTGGTGTATGAAAAATGCACACAAAATAAGATTTATGAAAATCCTGTGGGCAGAAACCAAATTCTGAGATTCAGTTCTGATGGTGGCACTAGACAAAAGGTTAGGAAAATCATCAAGAAATCATCCTCTACCATCCATCGCTAGTACGGGCCAAAAACATTTCAGTAAAACTTTATTAAAGGTGAAATTCAAGCAGTAAGAATGTAAATAAATTCAATGGAAACACGTGGACAGATTCACTCTCCCTTGAATCAGACTTTGATGAAGATGAAATTAACACAACAGTTGATGTTACTGTTACTAAATACCAGCATGCTGCTTGTTACGTAGCAGCAAGGCCAGAAAAATGGGGTGTAGGCAACATATGAGGCAGCAGGTGGTGGAGACGCTGTGGTAAACTTTAGATTTACACTATAGCACCTTTTCCATTCTGAGTCAACCGTGTGAAATTTGTGTTTCTTGGTCTGGTTTGTTTATGGTGCTGATTTTGTTAACATGCTGCACAAGTTGTCAGTTGAAGTTGGCATGAACGGCGTGTGTCATTTTGTGTGCCAAAACTGGCAGCGTGCCGGTCGGTTTCAGAGCTCAACCTACCCGCACTGATTCATATAATCTAACTCATCACAGCTGGTAAACACAGGCAGTAATTACTGTTGTGCTGGCCTCTACTTGGGTCACACATCTTTTCAGTATTTCTGCAAAATCATGTTTCTGTCAATTCCCCCGGCTTTGCTTACATTTTGTCTGTTACAGTTATTCACCTATTTAATCGCTTAATTCGAATTTCAACACTTGTTTTTTCAAACGTGCTCTATAAACGAATTGACTTTCTGATAGCAAAATACTTAATATTTAATATTTAATTAATAAACATCAATATTTTTGAACAACTTGATAAGTCTTAGAGAAACACGGATATTGGGAGCTAAAACATTTCATAAGACGCAGTCAAAAAAGCTCACAGTATCAGTCACAAGGTGAAACCCTGCTGTAATGTGCCAGTAACGGCTCCACTGAGTGTCTTTTGATTATGTGGCAAAGCTTTGATTCCCACTAAAACATTTGCCATAAAAAAAAGAAGCTGCTTTATTTAAATGATCTGTGTTTGCCTATTATCTCGGCCGTGGGGGCGATTGCTTTGTTGCCTTTTGTTGTTTTTGTAATTTGCCACTTCGCTGTATGTTTTAGAAATGTATGAACTGATTTTTAAAGAAATTTGGTGGAAAGTTCAGCCACAACCCAAGAAGAGTTGATCAGTTTTGGTGAAGAAGCACTGCAAGACACGGTATTCCTAAACATTTCCCCCACTGTCTCATGAACTCCTGAACTGAACTGTTCTGCACATGTATTCCATGTATTTTGATGCTGATCCAGAAGCACTTTCCAAAATTATTATTATTTGAATAACTTTTTAAGGGAGTCTGCAGGCAGAAGTAAACAATACTTGTTACCTCTCTGAGTGCTTTCTAGTAGTTTTCCTTTGATTTCCTGACGGCGTTATAGCTCTTAAATATGATGCTGTTCAAGTCTTGCACATTGCTTCCCCCTCATGTGTAGGCATTTAGAGACATCAGTGTGGAGCTTTAAATAATGTTTAAGAGGTAAAAATGGCCCTTAAGAGAATACGATACACCTGCTGCAGCTAAATTTGTTGATAGTATGTTGGCAGATACTGAATAACACTGCTGTCACTGAGCCTGAACCTGCTGCTGTGAAAATACTGATGGCCTTTCACATTCAGCTGCATGTTCCTTTGAATTTACATAGAAAAATACGTTTATAGGAAACCCTGATATGAAACCCACAGTGGGAAAAAAAGGAGACTTTTCCTCTAACAGATGCAAATAATCCGGTTGTAAACAGCCTGAACGTGACAGAAGTCAAAACAGATTCAACCGCAACACCAATGAGCTGTGTGTGTGTGTGTGTGTGTGTGTGTGTGTTGCAAATCTCCTCGGGCACCAACAACAGCAGAGGAAATGATCCTGTTTTTACAGTACGACGTCGAATACGTGACAAGCAGGCAGACACGATGAAGCAGAATAAAATTTAAAGGTTTCAGTCAGTAAAGAGAAAGAGTGAGGGAGCGTGAACGGGCGAGCGGCTTAAACCATAAAGACAGACGTGCAACAGGAAGGAGAGAGCGAGAGAAAGAGGGAGATAGAAGATGGAGCGTAGGAGACGGAGAGACAAAGAGGCGGAGAAACAAAGTGAAGGAGGGAGACGACATCTGTTAAAGGAGAATAAGAGATACAAAAAGATGAACAAAGACAGAAAGGGAGCACAAGACTGAAAAATATCCAAATAGCTAAGCTGGTGAGGATTACAATCTGATTCTTTTAAGAACAGTTCTGTTTGTGTTGGAGCTCAGACTCTCAAATCAACCAGTTGTCAACCATCAGTGGTTTTGTTTTATTCTGTCATAAACCAACCTGCACAAAACACACGTGTGCAAAAATTCAAACACACAAACAAAAAAAGAGACGGCAACATTCACAATGATTAAAGCAACCAATTAAAAGAATGAACTTAATTTAACAAATTGCACATGTAGCAACATGTTTGTTTGCAACATTTGTTTTGTATTTCCTCTGTGCTCAAAGAGTCGGTTCACTCAAACGAACAGCCTTCACTCTCCTGGGGAGGCTTTGAACCAGAGCTTAGCAACTAGCTGCAGGGATTTGTTACCAAAAGCGTTAGTGCTCACGACGCAGGAAAATGTTCGGTTAAGGTGCTGTTGGATCTCAGAGCAGCTTTTGACTTTGTGGTCTGCTGTATCATGATCGACAGATTTTAGGCAGTGGGTGGGTATCTCTGGGTCAGCCCTGGAGTGGCTCTCCCCTCTCTTATCTCTGATAGAAGTCTGAGATGGAGGTGATCTTTCATGCTTTCATTTAACCCTTTATAGGCTACTGTGACTACCTTTCCACCTGTCTTAGCAAGACATCCCATCCATAATGCTGCTGCAGAGCGTTTGACCAAGTCCTCATGTTTCAAATGTTTCATGGGATAATTATTCAGGCTGGGAATCTAACTGCAGTCCAGACCAGATCTCCAACAGACCGGGTATAGGCCTACCACGTATATTTACTTTCAGTTAAAAACAGCCAAGTGTCTTCAGTTTTAAGAGTTAGTCAAGTGCACTTCCATAATTAAGGTAACAGGAATAAATATTTATGAAGGCCTATATCATTGTTGTGCACATTTGGATTATTTGTTTTGCACTTGGCATTTCCTCAGACTGGACTTTATCATCATGAAGCTCTGGTAGCTGTGAGTAACTGGAAATACTTCCACATGAGAGAAACAAGTATACAGGTCCAAATTATTTCCATACATGCGCATCTCCTGCTACACAGCATGATTATTTTTATTTAAACATAAAGTCAGCTCTGGAAAGGTAGTGACGATATGATATGAGGGCAACCCTGCTTTGTAGCCTATGTTTTTTTTTTTTTTCTCATGAAGATATCTGTAATTTTACTGCATTTAGCAAAACTTTCCTCCTGGCTTTTCTGCTATTAATGCGCTGCATCTCAGCCTCACCTCTATCTTTTCTTTTTATCTCGTTCTCCTGTGTCGGCCACACGCTCTCCACGCACTGACTGAATGTTGTGTTGAAGTGTATGTGCATGTGACCAGTCGAGTGTGATGACAGACAAGGATAATATCATAAGATTAAAAGGTGTACAGTTCTGATGAGACTCAACCTTTGCAATCTTGTCTGACAAGAATCTGGATGTCATCTTTGGGGCTCGCAGGGACACTGCAGCGAGAAGGTGAGATGCGTCTGATAGTGGATTCTCCTGCTTGCTATATTATAAAAAAGCTTGCCATATTATCGCTGTCGCTGGTCAAGTTGACAATTAATGGCATGCCAAAACGGCCCTCAGGCCATTGGGAAATCTCCCAGTAATCCCGATGGCCTCTGCGCTACTGATGT